TAAATGCATCGTTTTGTTGCAGCAGCGCGCAAAAAGTAGAGGAAACTACATAGACCACAACACAGTCATTTGCTCCATTTTAGGGAACTGACAAAAATCATTAAAAAATATATTTTAAGAGAAACAACATTTTTTGTACCATTCCTTATAATATTAAATGTTTGTATATATATTTGTATGTTAAACTATAGAATGTAATGAGACAAGATGCAGTTTTTTTCATTTATAACATTGTACTTTGCCATGAAATATCGAAAATTCTCAAATGTTAAACCTGATAATTTCTTGCATTACAACAGAACTGCATTTTAACAGTTCATTACAGATGCCCGCCATGTGTATTAAATATTACTGGTCTATTAAAACCAAGCAATAGACAGAAAAAGTTGTGATTTTGTGGCTTTAACTCTTATTGCTTTATTAGTGAAACTTGCCAGCCTTATCCACCTTTGCTTTTCAAATATACAGTATGTTATTGTCTTATTCCCCCTGATAAGTTATTTTGGAGACTCTATCGGCCTGAGTTGTCTGTGATAATGAAGTTGTCATTTATTGCTGCGCTGAAGTGCCTCTTGTTCACACATCCACATGCACTCTTACCCTTTTCTCATCCACATTCTCTGCACTAAAGGGATTTTCTGTCATTGAATCTAAAAGCAGCCAGCAATATCGTATTCAGCGGGCAGAAAAAGTGCAGTACAGATGCAAACAGCACTGATAGTGAAGGGGGATTCTCTGGGGGGAAAAATGGAAAAAATCTGATGAATAAAGCTGTAATGTGAGATGAAGAGTGTAGCCTTCTGCTCTTGTAGTATTTCATTCATTCGTTTAATACCAGCGCAGCAGCATTAATCAGAATGGAGAGTGCTGATACAGTAGGTAAATGGGGGTTTCAAGTGCCCACAGAAAATGATGATCTGGACTTCTAGGGCAGTGCAATTTATCCAACTTTAATCGAGGTAGAAATTCAGTTATTTCTAATTGTCATGATATGCATGGGTATTTTTAATAGAGAATTCTATAGACAATCCTCTGTCAGTAAAAGCTTGTGCTCTAGAGCAGAGTTCAGACTTTAAAGGAAGAAATCAGACTTATGCTTTATGTTAAGGAGTGGGTATTATGCAAAACAATGTTATAACATATTATACCATGTTACAACATTGTTCCCACTCTTATAAAACATGTTATTGTTAATACATTGGTTTCAGCAAATTTTGCATTTTTAGAACAATGAAAGGTAACATGGTAATCTAAATATGTTATGTGTTTGCAGTTAATACCTCACAGAAGTAAAATATTAAATCTGTAAAGGGCAGTTATTAAAACTCTGTAGGGAATTGCGATATGTTGATAAAAATTTTATCGTGGTCATTTTGTGGTTCACAATTTCCCTATTTACTGTAGCCATATGCCCAAACAGACCTTTTTCCCACAACTGTATTATTAACTTTCACAAGAATCAGATTACTCAATAACCTCTTCAAAGCAATAAAGGAAGCATGAATTTAACATAAACTTATTGTGATTTAATCAGAAGAGATAGTTTTGCCATATAGCCCACTACTGTATGATTTATGTTCAACAAATAAAAACTGAGAATCATTGATTATTATTATTTTTGGTCAAATCTCCCTGTCCAATCTAAACTACAGGTAGAGCTGATTGATTTTTGATTCAGTTTTATTGTTATATTTCAACTGCTCTTAGTATTGATTTCATGAATATTTAACCTAAAAAAGTAATTAAATTTCCATCTCAAAAGTCTTCCGTCTTCTCCAAACCACATGCCTTTACTGACAGAGTATTGGCTGTTGATCTCTCAATTCAAAAACCCCAACCATATCATTGACGATTAGACATGACTGCTTCACAGTGTCTCAATCTCTGGATTAATTGCACAGCCTCAGTTATAAGTTTTGCCAAAGTTCATGTAGCCTCTGCTGAAGTACTTTTTTCCGTGTTTTTGACCTGGTTTGTACCTGGAGCTGTCAGGCGAAGAGAGTGAGCCGCTACATAAGCTATTATTGTTGAAAACTCCCTCAAACGTGACTCACTGCATTCTTTCTTGACAGCTGTTGTGTTGAAACTCTAACTGTATATAGTGCAGTGCCGTGCTAGTACTGGTTGCTAACATCTTTGCTTATTGGTTGTCATGGATAAAAATCGTACAGTGATGAGAGGTGGGAAGATAAGAGTGGAGTTTTGCTGTTACGGTAATGCTAACAACAACTAACAACTTCCTGGTTCGGAGACGATAAAATGCTTCATAATCAGATCTGGACAACCCGTATGTCTCTCATCTTAATGCCCAAAAAACTGCTTTTACAAATCTGTACAAGAGCAAAGCTAATTTTACTTTATTAGATGAAAAAAATGTGAACAGCCCATTTTAAAATACCAAAAGAAAAGTCATTAGAGTCACAGTCACATTAGTCATTGCACAGTTTTTTTGTTTTTGTTTTTTTACAAGAGTGAGTGTGCTTTGTTTCATTCACATGTTTATTATTAGTCTGTCTACATCTCCAAAGCTTAAAATGCTCCACCTTGTGATGTCATGAAGCGGTAGTTTTGACATGAACAGCATGAACGGCTGAAATCATCTGAATGATTCTACCGAAAGAATATGGAGTTTAAAAACACAGTGAAGCATTTCCTGTATTACCACATGACATCACAAGGTGGAACAGAGTGCTTCCTGTTTAATAGAAAAACTTGGCCTAAATATGCAAGATTTGTGTATTAAACATGTTTGAATGAAACAAAAACACAACTCCAGATTTGTGATGAGGAAACAACAATTATAACATAGATCAGAAAACAGTGTAATATGGGCCCTTTAAATCAAAGTTGAGCTCTGTCCCAGTCCTGATGCCAGCCTGTCTACACAAAGAACATAATCACATCTACAAGTGTGAAACCAATCCCCACGACGACCAATGTAATAAAATCTGCAGGGCTCTTAAGTTTGGAGCTCCTCATCCCCTCACACTGGAACGTCTCAGGCTAGTCTCACATCAGAGCAGGAGAGTTTGTTGATGTTGTCTCGTGGCCCTGCCCTGCTCCCATCTGCAGATGTTTCCTCAATGGCAGGTGTAGTTTTAGATGTTGCACAGAAGCAGGAAAGAGCTTTAGTACAAAAATTCGGAGGTTTGCATAAAATGGGTCAAGTTTTATTATCCATAGTATTCAAAGTATACACATTATTCTTAGTACAATGCAATAATCCACATCTTCGACATTGCAGAAGTGTACTGTCAAATGAAGTATTTTTTGTGTATTAAAATATGTTGAACTTTTAAAATTTCTGTTTTAAACACACTGGTTTAGTGTGATTTTAGCTTTAATTTGTGATAAGTTTTGCCCTATGCCCAAATTGTATCATACATTGAGTGATGAAATTAAAAACATGTTTTTATAGGACAGGGCTTCACAAAAGTGCTGATTTGGTTTTCAGCGGAGGGTTTGAAAATCATGAAATTGTTACTGGTCCAAAAGACCCGTGTATTGACTAATTTAAAGGGAAAAAAACAAATGTGAGTCTTCCCTGTCTTTAGAGATTCAGTTTCAGCAAGGAAAACCTCCAAAAAAGGTAGCAATAAAAGAGGGTGGGAACTGTAATCAAATGTAACCAAATACATTGTAATAGTGTGATTTAACTACTTTAACTGTTACACAACTTCTTGATATTTAATGCAGTAATACTTTTCTGTTTTCCTCTCTGTGGTCTGTCTTGAATGACTATTGTGATCTGGTCTGCTGCTCCAGTTGCAGTGTGACCATGGCCTGCTCCCCAGACTCCCCATCACCAGCCCTCTCCCCTCCACAGGGAAACTCCTCCTCACCGCAGACACTGGACCACTAAAGGCTTGTTCAGGCCTCAGTGGCTCTGCTCTTTAAGTGAACATATCCTCTCAATTGTAATAGGCTAATTGGTTGACTATAGAGAGGGATCTTCTGCTTACTCAGCCTGAACCGTAATAAAGGGATGTCTCTGCACACTTATTTAAAACGTCTCAGAGGATGGACAGAATAGTGAATATCAGGGAAATGGAGACGCCTTCAGGTCCGGTTCGTGTTTTTGACTGTTTGGGTCGACATGGTGATCTGTCAGGGCTGGGGTGATAAGCAGCAGTGCTAGCTTTAGTAGAACGTAATGTTCCTTGTTTAACACTTAATAAGCCCACACTGATTTACTGCCACAAGGCTCCTGCCTTTGCGTTTTGTGCGGGCCATAAAAGCCAGACAGCGTTTATAGAAAGCACCCCAGCGTCATTAATGAGGATTAAGATGCAGGCCTCATTCAACCAACCTTATTTAGGTTTAAAAATATTGTTCATTGTGATATTGCAAACACCTGAAGCAGTTACATGCAGCTAACCACAAAAGTCTCATTTAAAACAGGGCAATTTCACTTTGCATAAACACATAATGGTGCTCCATTTTCCATGTCATCTTTTCTGGATCTCTCTGTTCTGTTTTTCTCTCTGCATAATTGTGTGGCCTGTGTCAGTAAGTAGAGGGGAGGGTGAAGTGCTCCATAAAAGAGGATTAATACCTTCTCTTTAAACTGGGCTCAGCACATGTTTACTCAGAGGTGCTGAGTGGCTCCTGGCTCTCACTCACTGTGACTGAGCAGACACATGTTCTTTAAATGTGGGGATGACCTGACACCCCTCAGTGCAGCGGCCTGTGCACTGGTCCCGTCGCTTTGGTGCTCTAGTCCTGGTGCTGTGGCCTGCACTTCGGTGTTCCAGTGTATAGCTTTAGACCATATTACAGACACTGATGTGTGTGCATTTGGCTTAGATTGTCATAAGAAGCAATGATTTATTGTTTGGTGCATGCTCTGTAAAGAGTGTCACAAATAACAAATATTCACCTAAATTTTCAGAACATAGTGTAAGCAGGTTTTAAAAGTTGAGGAATCTGAATGGTGCAATAATGACAGATTATTATCATGTGTGAGAAGATCTAAGTGTCTGTGTGTGTGTGTTTTCCAGGCTGATCTGACTGGGATCAAATGGAAGCGGTTTGTATGGCAGGGCTCTCCCTCTGCTCCCATCCTGTTCCCGGTGACAGAGGAGGACCCCATCCTAAGCAGCTTCAGCCGCTGCCTGAAGGCGGATGTGCTGAGCGTGTGGAGGCGTTGTCAGAGGCAGGGCAGCAGGGAGCTGTGGCTCTTCTGGTGGGGAGACGACCCCAACTTCAGCGATCTCATCCACCACGAGCTGGAAGGTAAGAGGCAACTCTGCTGGGTTTGGATTACAACTTTCAGACCTGTGTCTACTTATAAACTGGCAGGATGCTTGGAAGTAGGGCTGCATGATTGTAGAAAATGATCTAATTGCGGAGTATTGCAAGTATGATTTTCTTCATAATGCTCATTTTAAACAGATCTAAGAGCATTCACATTTGAGCAAAGACTGAAAGATGAACCACTAATTCAACAATCACATACTGAAAATAGCATTTTTTACAATAACAGGTTAATTTGTTGTTCACAGAGGACATTGTATTACTTAAATAATTGAAGATTTGATAATTGCAGTAACTCAAAATGCAATTTTGATCCAGTTGCAATATATAGTGCATCCCTATTTCAAGCATTTAGTCATTTAGCTCAGCAGCACATGGCTGCTCTGCCACAAAGCTGCTAATTTCACTCATGTTCCAGTCACCAGTCGTGTCTGTGAATCACCCAGAGTCTGACAAGAGAAATCATCTCTGAATATTAAAGTCACTTCTCTTTTGAACGCTCCCTTTGAGGCATTCACTCAAGGTTATAGAGCTGAAGGAGCGAAGGCTATAAGAAGTATAGCAAACGGAGAGGCTCTTAGCTTTGTACTCAACACACTTGAACATAAACTGTCAGAATATGTTACTGGTTGTACAAATGTGCTTATTGTCAGGTAGAGATCTTATGTAAAACCTTGGGAAAGTGTTAAGTTGTGCGTAATGTGTCTAGAACTGTGGATCTCGTAGTTTAGTTGATCAGTACAATTGACATTGTATAAATTGTTGTTTTTGCATGAACTCCCGTGCAGTTACATACAGTACATAGAGATATGTAATATTTTTGAGAGCTTTTTTTCACCTATCAAATGGCAGGTCATGTCTTTAGTTAAACGTGAATTTCTTTAGACGGCTACAGGCCTAAATGCCTCTGTGTGGTCAGGCCAAAGCTGAAAACACCTGTAGAGCAACTGGCCCTCATGTAAAGCCTTATTTACAGATGTCCCATGATCGAATGCTTTTGATCAGAGAATGAGTTATCCCAGCGTTATAATGAAAAGAAATTGAGCAGTAAGTAGGGGTCAACTTTACTGATAAGGTGATCTCAATAATATTTTTAATTATCTTGAACAATATTGTAACAATGCATCAGGAATGTGCTAAGATGTAAATGTCTTGGATAAGGTACATGTGTTGCACAAAATGTGAAAGGATCTTAAAGGTGCTATATTACGCAAAGGAATTTGTGTGAGCTTTAAGCCATGTAGAATGTTGTTACCTCCTGAAAAAAATATCCTCAGTGGTGTTTTGTTTCATTCACACATGTTTCAGTAATCTTTTATTATTAGTCTTCAAAGATCAAAATATCCGTGGTAGTTTTAACTTGTAACAGCTACATTTTACCTTTAGTTTAGTAGAGATTGGCAGTTCCAGAGCAGAATCATCCAAATGATTCTAGTGAAGGTGTATGAAACCTATGTGATGTCATTTGAGTTGTAGATGGTCCAATAATTAACTTTCATGACACATAGATACTAGAACTACTTCGCCACATGGTACTCTTTACATATTGCTGACCACATTCTATTTCATATGATTTACTTAGAAAAGGGTTTACTGTGAACATCCTGCTTTAAGGTTATTTTGAAAGTGAATGAATGCATTTCAGTATAACTGTTAATCTTGATATTTTCATAACCAGTAGGGTTGGATATCATTAAGAAGTTGCTGATACGATACATACCTTAATACATAGGCCACAATGCGATACATGCCACGATACAGTGCACTTTTAATTTGATATGATGTATTTCAAATTGATTCAATACGGTTCAATAAAAAATAAAGCCTAACTCATGGCTGTGATACTAAAAGTCTTTGTGAAACCACTTCTTGTGCAAAATAAATATGAAACACACCCTTTTTACTCATCAAAACAGTGAATATGTCAAATGTGTTGCATAAACGAGTTTCATTCCCATGAACAAGCAAAAAAACTGTAGCACAGTAACAAAATAATTTAGTAAAATATACCAAAAAATACTCTTGACAATATATCGATACAGCAGCTCATGATGTTGATACTGTATCATCACATTAAACGATACGATATATTGATTTTTCAGTATTTTTGCACACCCCTAATAATCAATATATCACACTTCAAAATTTGTTAACATGACAGAAGCCTAGATGAATCCCACCTTTAGCCACATGTTTAGAGGCAGACACACACACACATTGAACCTGCACCTCTCCATCTTTAGTAACAGTAAGATCAGTGGCAGAAGATGGATTAGGGCACCCTCCTTATTCATGCCCTCTGCCTGGCGGATTGAACTTTGGGTCCCAAGCCGAGACCAGCCGGTGAGCGACCTTCCTTCATTATGGGACATTGTGCCTGAAGTGGACTCAAAATGGAGCTGAAGGCTACGATGGGCAGCTCGTTCAGGCCTAACGGGTCCTGGTAATAACCTCAAGTGTCTGGCTCTGGCCCTCTAATGGAGTGTGCTACATTTCTAGTAGGAGGGGGTGGTATGGAGAATCTATATTTGGACATTGCTTAGAGTCACTGCTGTGTTCGTCCACAAGCTATGGGGAGATTAAATGTTTTTTGTGTTTATGTTAGGCCTATCACAATAATTCAAAAATGATGGATGTAACAATAATTTCTGGGGGTCTTTATAGTGGGTGCTTTTTCTTTGTGTTAGTGGGGAACTTCTGTAATGTGAAAAGGCGACTTCTTCATTATAGAGACAAAAGTACTAAACTACTAAAGTTTTTTAATTTATCTATTTATATATACATGTACATATATATATATATACACACACACATATACATACATACATACATACACACATACATACATACATACATATATATATATATATATAATATATATATATATATATATATATATATATATATATATATATATATATATATATTTTTTTTTTTTTTTTATGATACCATTTATGATTCATTTAGGAATTTTTTTATGAGAATAATCCTGCTTTCGTTAGTGTCATTTTATCATTTTATTTTAATATTATTGTTTTTCATCTATATATTTCAATAGCAAATTTTTAATTATAGTATATTGCTACAGAAATACACAGTATATCACAATAAATGATAACACTGATACTTCTTTACACCATTGACGCAGTAACCCTAAAGCAGAATGATACCATCACATTTGTTTTAAGTGATATTATAAAAAATGTGGTCAGCAATATATAAATGGCCCAATTAAACACTTAAGTATTTAGTTCTAGTATCTACAATGTGTCATAGATTTCATAGATTATTCAACCACTTCCAACATATTGTTCTACCTATCATAAAGTATGATTAATCGATAAAGTAATTATCATGACAGGCCTACTTCAAAATTCATTATTGTGACAGCCTAGTTTGAGTGCATGGAAATGAGATAATTGAATATTGACCACAACATCTGAGCCTTGTTGTGCTCCCAGGTATTTGAGCCCAAAATGATGAATCATGTTTTCTCAGGACGGAGCGCAGGGCTGCTTTGGGAGCATTTGAATATTTAATAAAGCCGTGTGGCAGTGCTGAGCTTCCCTCTCTGCTGGGGACCTCGTCATGAACGCAGTATCCTGAGCTCCTGCTGTGATTTTTGTTTTGCTCCCTCCTCATGTGCGGCTGCTGCGGCTTGAGGTGTTTTTGCACCCGACTCCTCACTGTGAACGTTTCCCAGATGGGCGCCTTGGTAATCCAGGTTTCCTGTTTGGAAGGCTCTCCGACTCTTAGGGTTGTTCGATATGATGCATTCATGTGACATCACAACATTCACAAATCCCAATCCATAGGGTTCAGAATGGTGAAAAATTTGGACGTATTATATGTTAGGATACATGAATAGGAAAAATCTTGAAAATGTTGCATACTGAAAATACAGCGAAAAACATTACTGTAACTGCAACACATTTCTTTTATAAGAAATGTGGTCTTGTCTCTCCACAACTCTGACCTGAAGCTTGCTTTAGTGATGCCAACTACTTGTCTGTGCAGTATTCCAGCCAAAGTATTAACACCTCATTAGAGTCAAATGGATCTCTAAAAAGTTGGTAGACCCTCCACCATAAAAGTTACTTAGAGCACCTTTAATATTGGTGGACATTTTTATTAGTTTTTAATAAGACAAATAAAATAAAATAAAAAGTTGTTATTTTTCAAAATAAGGAAACAAATGTGAATGTGTAATTTGTTTGTCATATTTCCCAGCCCTAGCGCCTCTCTAGCCCCTTCTCTCATGTCCCTGTTTCTCCCTGTGCTGCTGCTGATGCTGCTGCTGCTGTGTGTGAGTCTGTGAGATGGAGCACTGCGGACAAAGTGCTTTCTCTCTTCACCACATCAGCAGTGAGCGATTAGGCTGTTTACTGTTTTGTCCATATAAGCGTCATAAGAACAAATGGGAGACGTTGTGGGGTAGAAGAAGTTATTATTTGCCCTTTATGAATTTCAAAATTGCAGTATTATAATTCCTTTCTAAGACATTTTCAGCAACAACACTTCAACTTGGCTCAATGAAAACTAATATCTTTTGTTATAAGCCAGAAATATTTTTTTAGACACTGGAAGCCAAAACAATGCACAAAAAAGTTAGCCAGTTCTGGGCCAGCACACTTGCATTTACCTGTAACAAAATTTCCACATAGGTACAAGACGCTTAACCTGGCTCATGCCAGATTGATATGCGAGTTCTGCACATCAATCTGGGATGGCTGTCGCTAAAAGCGATCGGAAAACACTGAACGTCATGAAGATTATTTGAATTTGATTGATAGAAGCAGAAAAATCTAACTTTTGTTAGATCCAGTTGAGAGAAAAGTTTCCCTTTCCATGAATGCACAAAGTGCTTATCTTCTGCATTTTTTTCACTAACAAAATTGTTCTTATTGATGCAAAAATATAGGCTGTTTTGGTTTGCTTGGGCACTTCCATCAAATGACTGTTCTCTCACCACTTGAAATCAAATAATTTCTTCATATTGATCAATCATGATAGAGGATTTTTCTGTGAACCTCTCAATAAAAAAAACTCAAAACAATCTTTGAT